GACCTACCTGCAGGTAGGGGGTGGCGGGAAGCTCCGGGACTGAGCGAGAGTGAGGGATGGAGATGTCCTCCAGGCTGGTGTCTCACCAAGCCCTGTGCTCTGATGCTCAGGCCTCCCTCTTGCTGTCTCCACCAGACCTGGCAGTCGACCATCCTCGTGGTGTCCCACGACAGGAACTTCCTGAACGCGGTGGCCACGGACATCATCCACCTGCACTCGCAGCGGCTGGACGCGTACCGCGGGGATTTTGAGAACTTCATGAAGATCAAGGAGGAGCGGCTGAAGAACCAGCAGCGAGAGTACGAGGCCCAGCAGCAGTACCGCGAGCACATCCAGGTACTGGGAGAAACCAGTAGTGCCGGGGCACTACTCCCAGCCTTATCCCTTTCTCCGTGCTTCTAATGAGCCTCCCGAGCTGCCCTGCTTCCAGTAATCCCTGCTCGTGGAGTTTTTGCTGCTGTCTGGTCTTGCGATGACCTGCGGCTGTGGCTCTGTCATTGCAGGAGGCTTGGCAGCAGAGCGGGGTAGCTAGGCCTGAGGGGGCTCTCTGATGCTTTTCTCTCTTGTAGGTTTTCATCGACCGCTTTCGCTACAACGCCAACCGGGCGTCCCAAGTGCAGAGCAAGCTCAAGCTGTTGGAGAAGCTGTGAGTGCCTGTCCTGCTCCTCTCTGGAGGTGGGCAGGGGGGGTGCTCATGGGAAGACACAGAGGCTACCGGGGTGCCTGGCAGATACGGGGATGGTTTGGGGTTTGAGTGCTGTGTCTCTGGTCCAGAGGCTCTGGCTAGGATGTGGCATCACAGAGCTGACGCCGTCTGGTATGAGAACAAACCCCCAGTGCAAGACACCTTGGTTATGTGTCTCCTCTTCTTGCAGTCCCGAGCTGAAACCTGTGGACAAGGAGTCCGAGGTGATCATGAAGTAAGTGTCCCCTGAGCCCTTGTTTAGAGGACACCTGGCTCTGTTTCTGACGTGAGCCCCTCCTGGGTCCTGTCCCAGCTGGAGCAGCCACCCCTTCCTGCGGGCCAGCCTTACTCTGACAGGGAGCCCAGACAGGCCCCCGCGTTCGAGCTGGGTTCCCTCCTGGGGCCGAGGCTGCAGATATGTGTCCCCTGCTTGTGACCGCCCTTCCCAGAGGCCCTGCGTGGTAGGGAAGCCCCCCTTGCCGCCTGGAGGTTGCAGCAGTTGTCCTGAGAGGCTGGGAGCAGGGTCTCTGAAGTTCCTGGCCATCTCTCACCTCTTCCTGCCTTCCCAGGTTCCCCGACGGCTTTGAGAAGTTCTCTCCCCCTATCCTGCAGCTAGATGAAGTAGACTTCTGTTACAACCCAAGTCACTACATCTTTCGTTCCCTCTCTGTCTCTGCTGACCTGGAGTCGCGCATCTGTGTGGTATGTGGGACTGCAGAATAGTGTGGCTACAAGGGGCCTTGGGGAGGTCCCTGCTCAACGCAGGGCTGGCTTTGATGTTAGGTCAGGTTGCTCAGGTCCTTGTCCAGTTGAATTTTTGGATGTCTCTAGGGAGGAATATTTTTCCCATTCCTCTGGGTCCCACTGCAGCATTTGATCATCCTCATTTTGAGGAACGTTTTTCCTAATCGCAGGTAGAATTTGCAGCTTGTGCCTGTTGCCCTGCATTCTTTCACCGGGCACCTCCGAGAACAGACTGGGTGCATCTTCTCTGCGACTCCCTGTTAGTTAGCTGATGGCAGCAGCATGTAGCTGGGGCTGCTGCTGCGTTGAACTGGGGCACCAGAGAGATGCTATTTGCACCGGGTAGTCCTTAGGCTCGAGGGTTGGTGAGGGACCGTGCTCCAGCACTGCTGCCTGTGCTGCTCCTCAGTGAGAGAAACGCAGCTTCCAGGTAGCTGGAGCCGCTGGTTAGAGACTCATCCCGCCCTCCTCCGCTGCGTGGTCATCCAAGAGAGCTGAAATTCCCTGATCCCTGCCCCCCTCCCCAAAGTGCCTGCGTGGGCTTCATGTTCTCCAATGCTGCTGCTGCTGCTCTAGGTTGGGGAAAATGGAGCTGGCAAGTCAACCATGCTGAAGATCTTAATGGGGGAGCTGGCACCAGTCAGAGGGATCAGACATGCTCACAGGTACCTGCTGGGAACGGCTGGGGGACTGGGGGGAGTGGTGCAGCTGGAGGGCTGCTGGGCCGTGCTTCGGAGCGGTGGCTGCCAGAGCGACAGGGATGGGTCCTGCACGCCCACGCATGTGCCCCCTTTCCTGTAGCTGCAGCGGCGAACGCTGCGGTTGCTGGGCCTGGTACCAGCTCCCGATCTCTGTTCTCATTCTGCAGAAACCTAAAGATCGGTTATTTCAGCCAGCACCACGTGGATCAACTGGACTTGAACATCAGTGCTGTGGAGTTGCTGGCGAGGAAGTTCCCAGGTGAGTTTTGGAGATCCCAGGAGATGTGGGCCGTTGCGGTCTCCTTTGCCACGCAGGGAGCAGCATGGGTTTGTTCCCTGGACCTGGGCAGAAGGCTCCGTCACGTCAGTGCTGAAGGGACACTGCCTGCTCTGGGTTAGCCCCCCACGTCCAGCACAAGCTCAGGACACGAGCCATGAGAAGCCGAGCTGGTTGCGCGGGTGTAGCCGGCACTCTGTGGACCTCAGGCTGGTGCTCCGCCGTGGCTGGGTTTTGGGGGCAGATGACCCGCTTTCCTGCTGGGCACAGAACAAGCACCCGTTCCCCCTTTCCCGCTGCCAAAATCTCTGGCTCCCTTCTCTACTGAACCTAACCTAACGTGGCAGCAGGGAGTTGGGGACAGTGACACTTGGGGTCGGTCACCAGCCCTGCAGCCCCTGTGCTGGTTGTGTCAGTCAGGTTTTCCGCGCAGACCCCCTGCTTGGGAGGAAATTGCCTGGAAGCGGCGGCTGAATTCCCCCTCCGCCAG